GTGGGTGGTGAGCAATTGCATTGTGCATCACTTGTTTTATATATATTCTGTATATTCTCTTACTATTATTATTGTTATTATTATTATTACTACTATTGTTATTCTTCTCTCTTATTAAACTGTCTCTATCTCAACCCACGGGTCTTACTTTTTTTTTCTTTTCTCCTATTCTCTCCCCCATCCCACAGAGGGAGAGGGGGGAGTGAGCGAGCGGCTGCGTGGTGCTTAGTTGCCAGCCGGGTTAAACCACGACAGGTGGATTAAAGGATCTAGTACATTAAAGCCCACTCCTAAATCTGTCCGTTTTCTTGGAGTACACAAGTGGCTTTGAAGCTCCCTGGTATATCGTGCTCCCCATCCACATTTAGGAGTGAAACGAGACATAGGAAAGGTGCAGAGGAGGGTCACAAAATCCACTAGGAGCTGCAGTGTTTTGTGCCAGAGTTGTTAGGAAGGTAGGAGCCCACACCAGAAAAAAATAGCATTCGAGCCCTCTCAGCCTTGGAAAGGACCCAAGTCAGAGGGGAGAAAGCAGAACGAGCAGGAAGGTACAAGCCATCTGGCACTGCATTTGCCTTCTCTCAGAGAAGGTGTAACTCAGCTCTCAAGGAGACCGAAGGGTAAATGCAGCCAAAGCAGGGCACAACAGGAGTTCTTCCTTCTACATCTCTTGGTCACGTGTGGCCCATGATTGGCAGACCTTACAGCAGCAGTGTCCAGCAGGCTTGAAAAGGCTTAGAGAGGCAAAGAAGAGCAGCCAGGCCAGCAAAAAGGGATACTGAAGTGCCTATTATCATGTTTGAGGGCATAAACAACCTCCCAAGTCAAGAAGGGATCTTGGGAGAGAAAGGCTGTTACAGAGCCTTCCTCCAAGTTGCTAAGCAATGGGGAACATGAAAGGTTGGTCCTGAACTAGATCAACTATCCTGGCAATTTAGCAACACTCTTCCCACATCTAAAGTTGCCATCTGCCCAGGACCTCTTTTGAATGCAGAAAGCCAAGCTGTCTGATGGCTGCTGCTTCTTCAGCTCACAGATGCTGGACATCTCCCCACCACTAACGTCCCACTGCAGCACCACAGAGAATTTTCACTGACTGCACACTGCTGTGGCTAAACTGAAGTTACAAGGGAATAAGCTGGAAGGAGAGAGCCCAGAGATGGTGCTGGACAGAAAAAGTAAGCCTGTTAGAGCACAACCTCCAGCTCACCTGTTTTTCATGTATCTGAGGAAATCAGGGTGAATAACCAGGTATTTGTTCATCGTGAAATCTTCATCAAATCTCTCCCGGGGCCTTTGCCTAAGGACAGGAATGGGGAGACTGAGGACAAGCTCCTCATCACAGCTGGGAAGCATCAGCCCTGATGCACTTGGCAGTAAGAAAAGAACTACACTTAAATTATTCTGCAACATTTCACAGGTTATGACAAAGCCTCCATAAGCTGCATGCATTGCAGAGGAAGAGATCAGGGAGGAGAGGCAAACAGGACACAGGAATATCAAAAGCATGCGTGTGTATAGACAAGACCTGGTGAAGCCAGGCCTCCATCCATGAGTAGGCCACCATGTACAGACAACAGACCAGACAAAAGCATGCGTTCATCCCAGAGGATCACAAAGCTTTTTCCAAGCTCTGGCCACACATGATTGAAATCAGCTACTTCTGGGAAGGAGGCGCATTGGTTACAGCAGTGCTCAGAGCTGTGGAGGAAATAAGGTATTTCTCCAGACAAATCTGCCAGGGGAGGGAGGCTTTAACCTGGCTTTTCCCTGCCCCGCATCTCCCTCATCAGGGCTGAGCCCTGTGGAGAGAAAAAGGGCACAAGAGAGCTGCACACTGAAGGGTGTAGAGGTGGGCCAGCTTTTTTACCCATAGTGGTTCAAGAATCCTTCCCGGATGTTTGTGTTCAGCAGAAGAGCCTTCAGCCACTCATAGTCTCTAGCTCCCTCCAGGAAGTGAATGTATCTGACATGCTAAGAAAACAAGTGAGCATTAAATAAACAGCTCAACTGAGACACATCTTTTAGAAACAAAAAGCAAGCAGACATCTAGGCTCATGGAGTTTCTCAGACATGTCTTCAGTCTGCAGCTTTTAACTATCCCACAGAAGCAGAATGGAGACAACACCTGAGGTGCAGCTACTTCTACAGGCCAGAAGGCTGGGGTAGGACTGACACAGCTTGCCACTGCAAATACTCCAAGCCAAGCCAATGCAGGTTCCCTCACTAAGGGTAATGCTAAAGTGTCAGCTCAGCCCCTTTGCTCCTCATGCACGGCAAGATCAGAACAGAAGGCCACAGACTAACAGCATCCTGTCAAAGCTGTGCATGCATACAGCATGGACCTGACTTACTTTTCCCCGTGGAATGTTGCTGAACCCTCTACGTCCTAAGATCTGGAGAGAGGTCACCAGGGAGTAAGCTGTGAATCCATAAAAGGAGGTTTTTGTTCCCACGTCTTTTTCGTAACCTTTGATAACAGCCCCACTCACCCTGGCCAAGGAAATCAAACAGAGGAGCAGAGTTAGCAGATGACCACTGAAAACCCTTACATCCATGTTTATAACAGGAAAAGACAGCATTAGTCTTGAGGAATGGAGGATTAGACCCATTTTAAGCTACACCTCTTGATCTGCAGGAGAGCCCCTGCTTCAGAGATGGCTCTTTATGGCTCATCTGTGAACCTAGGCTCTTCCTGTAATTCTCCAATTCCTTTTCGGTTTTCCATCTCCTCCTGCCATCAGCCATTTTGGCATTTGGGAGTCAGTGCAATACTAGAAGAGGCAAAGTTATCCAGCTGTAATTATCTGCTAGCCAGAATAAGCTAGCTGTGTATCTTCTAAGAAGGAAGCCTGCCTTACCGGAAGACGTAGTCATGGGAGTCAATCTCCTGGCCCATCCCAGAGTTATTCAATATTCCTCCATTCCCCACGACAGCACAGCTGATGCATGTTGGCGTGCTGCTGTTGCTGTTGGCCAGAAGCAGCTGCTGGTGGGGATTCGGGGGCAGCCGGGACATGACCTCCTCCACGACTGTGAAGCAAACATGGTGGAGTGTTAGCACCAGGAGCCTTTGGGATGGACACAGTGAAACCCCTGCAGTTTCCACCATGAGATCCACCTAGCCTGATGCCTTTGACAGGTAGGTGCTGCAAACCTCCAGGTACTTGGCATACGGTTCCTGTTGGGAGTTTGATGGTCTCATTCTGACATGCCCTGAGGGACTCACGTGAGTAATTCAGCTCCATGAAGCCATACGGAGGCGCAAAATGCTCCAGACGGTCCCATTCACTGCCACTGAAGTATCTCTTGTCTGTGAAGAGCATTATGTTAGGCAGGAAAAGATCTCGCAGCCAGTCAGACTTGGCAGCTTTGGCCTTCACTGATTCAGAGCAGGTCTTGAAAAACAAAAAGAAAACAATAAGGACTGATTAGCAGGGAGCTGATAAACCTGACTGAATGCCAGTGCTTGTGTGCCTTTGTGGAAGAGTATTGGAAAGAAGCATAGAAACTCCAGTGGTACATCATCCATTCCCCTCAGTGTCTCCATCACTGTGAACACAAGGCATAATTTCAGCACTACATCAATAACTGGCTGGTGGAAAGTCACCTAACAAAGAAGCCAGAGTGACTCCAGGTCTTGGACTTTCCTCTTCAAAACAACACACCTGCAATGCTCACATGTTTTACTGGCTTTGGGCCTCGTTAACTGATGCAAATTATTATCTGTAATAGGCCTAACCTAAACATAGCAAATAAGGCTAGCAGTTCCTGTTGGCAATGCACCTCAAGGTCCTGGCCTCAGAGCATACACAAGTAAACACACTGAGGAATATACGAGATCAGATCACCATTATGACTCCTTTAAAGATAAGAAAAAGCATGCAAACAACTTGTTAAACATCATAAATGAATGACAGAGAATCACGTGGCTGAGAAGGGAATCCAAGCCAGCTTATTCTCTCTAACAAGAAGGGCCTCATTGCAACTGGCAAAAGTTAGGCTGTGTGTGCAGATGGAGAGCAAACAACTGCACTGCACTGGATTTTCCACTGAGTCAATCTGGGGTCTGCTTTCTTAGACATCTTACCCAAATACCTACTGCAATACCTACTGAAAGACGAAACAGGAAACAAGTGGACCCACGTGTCCAGCTCAAATCCCCAGCAATGACCAGGCTACATGGCCAAAGCCTTGCTGTGTGCTCCACAGCTGAGCTGGGTGCTCTGCTATGGGTGACGATGACAATCCGGTCACAGCCTGAGGAGACAGCCCTCATTCTGCCTGTCACAACAGGAGTGGAAAGAGAAGAACACTGTGGAGGGTTTCATGTTGGCATCATTTCACTGGCAGCGCATTTCATGTCCAGACACAGGGACATTCCCTTTCAGCTCAAGCTGTACTTTATACTGTCCAAGGCTTAGTACTTCTTGTGCCTCCCCAGCTAGACTGGATCAACAGCAGAACAACTAGGGAAGAGTCTGATCATGTAGGAAATGAAGGAGTCAGGAGTGCTTCTAGTCACTCCTCTTTCATTAGAGATCAGGTTTGGGAGGTGAGACCCAACATGTGATGTCTGGATCCACATCCTCAGTAAAGACCCTTTTGCGTGCATTTTCTCCTCTTTTCCATGCCGAGGAAGGGTTTTCCCCACCATCAGCTCTTCTGCACACCCAGATGCTCTGCAGTTGCAGTGAAGGATGTTCTTGGATTCCTGC